TGGCAGACGACTTCGGACTAGGTGCATTCTACATAGTCGCCGTGACAACCAGACCAAGTTGCGACAACGCGGTCAACCCACTTCTATAAATCGAAAGGATACCAGAGGCCACAACATCTTGTTCTTTATATCTTCAACAATTTGCTAGTCTTGAACGGGAACAGTCATTTGGTGAGGCAGGACAAGGTACAATAGCTGGTCGACTGTGTTCACGAGATTGTGCAGTGCGCCTGTGCATGCCGACAGAACTGTAGGTGTACCAGTGACGAAGCAATAGGGCGCCTGGGTCGCCAATGCAATCAGGACAATGCACATTCACGCAACCTCCCGACACCCAACTGATTCGGACCAGGTGTCCTAACAGGAGCCGTCACTTGCCCATTTGCCCCACTTCAGCCCACCTTCTCTCCTCACCAACCTTTCGGCCAGTCCTCGGCCTGTTTCGGCCGAGGAGCCTGACTTGTCTGCCGACATCGCTGACAGCCTCTGTTCTACAGGCAGGACGGCAGCAACATTTCATCTGGACTGGACGACTCATGGTCATACATACGTACACACATCACTCCATCTCCACCCTTATGGGGCGGAGAGATGGACCAGATAGGTGAAGAGAGAGAGGTGAGAGGTTCGAACAAATTAACATACACGCAATGGCGTGGCAACACTTTCCACTGTTGCCTTCACCATGACGCAGTCTGAGGCGTCATCTCATTTAGCTACCGTTTCACTCACCCGAATACTGTTCAACCCCATTTGACCATTTGACCTGTCCAGCTGTCCTGGGACTTGTTGTCGGAATGGATTGAGTCTAGTCGTGCGAAGGATGGTGTGACTGGTTGGCATTCAGACGGTACCTTGGAGGCTCAGTCTGCCACCCGGCCATCTGGTCAAAGAGCCACGCTTATGTAAGTCTGTGTGAGGCGTACAAATGTGTGCTCTGCGAGGTGGGCTTCCGGTGTTTTTGGCATGTCGGCTGTGTGATTCCGCGATGGATGTGTGGTCTATTCAGTATGATGGCGGTGTGTGTGTGTGTTTGCGATTATGTCACATGTGAAGGCATATGAGCCTGTTGCGCACAAGTGTATAAGGTAGCACGCGATAGGGCATTTTGTAGTCAGGATGACCAACCAGATATCGCGTTTTGATGGTTAACAGAAATGTGAACTGAGTCACTCCCCGGGGTGCAATTTAGCCAAGCATGTGGTCCATTTTTGTGGGTTTCTGCTCAGAGGCTTGGCATGATAATTGGGAAAATTACACGAACTAACATAAGTTAGTCCTTTTTGTACCGCCACAGTCAATAAGGTTGGGATGAAAGAGTGCCCATTTGAGCACAAAGAGATGTGGCCAAGACAACGAAAGAAGATTAGAACGATTAGACGTCGAGGTTGCTGATGCGGCTGATAGGGCTGAAAGTTGAGTTGCCCATAGGACAATTTGAGGAGGATGAATTGGCTTTGTCCCTGAACTGTCCTGTACCTTTAGCCTCTTAAGACCCTTGGTCAGACCTATTGTCACTGAGACAATAGATAGTCTAGACGAAAAGTGATGCGACTAAATATATCTAAAAGGGTGGGGCGACAAACAAACGTATGACTGCTGGCCTGATGGATAGATTGGACCTCCTGTGGACAAACGAGAGTATACTTTTGGGCATTAGCGGGTCTAAAGTACTTTACTCAACTCAACCAGCAGAAATTCGGGTTTCTGGGCGGTCAAGTCGGGGCCCAAAGGTGGGGCGTTTAATTTAATCAAGTTGGACAGGCCTTGGAAGACCGGACACAGAGTGGGACGAGGCGGCGGGCGATTGGCTGTCTAATGGAGGAACCCATTAGCCAATACAAAAGCCAGTATGGCGGCACACATTAACACACACACACACACAACACACACACAAACACAATGAGTGATGAGTTCTTCTGCTGGCCAAAGGGCAACTCACACTTTCTATGGACAGGATGACAACGACTGACGCCAGTTCTAGCCACTCTGGCCTATCCAGTTTAGCCGAACTCCGTATTGCCAACCAGTGAGGTCAAGCGAAGCGACTTCAGGGTCTCGAGGTGCTTCAGAGAACGGTCTCCGTTTAGGCAAGGCGATGGTGAGCAATACCCAGCGGATTGCATATTTCATGAGGTTCTACGTGAAGAGGGTCAGGTGCCAAAACGAGCAGCGAAGCGGCGTCTAGTTTCCGTGTCCCAAGCAAGACAAGCCACGATTGCCTACTCTGCCTCTTTCTTTGTGGGAAAACACACCACAGAACCCTGGCCACGCAGGCAAGTAGAACAAGAACAGTTACCACATACAGTCTATCAACTAGCAGCTGATTATCCGCCGTTTGTCTGGTCAGTTTTGGCCTCCCGTCTTGCAACGAATGGCCTGGCTCATCTGCCCTGGTCTATCCCCTCCAGTGGTGGCCAGGTACAGTTACAGTGGCGACATCGACAGGGCAACGGGAAAGCACATCGCAAAACACACACACACACATATACGCATACATACATAGAGCTCTGTATTTGCAGACAAGTGTGTATGTACCTTATAAACATCTCAACTTGGATGAGTCAGCGTTTATCCCTGTCATTGTGTCCCCATATTAGCATACTTCGACGTGTTGGTGGACTTCGTCAGGATTGCTGATATGTATACGCAGTTGAGTCGACTTAACAACGAGTGCCCTGGAGATATGAGCAAGTGGGACACACGTTATGACCAGAAGCACATCAATGGCATTCCGGTTTCTAGGGCCCAGAACAACAAGTCTTGACAACCCTGCCACCCAGGCGCCGAAATGCTGTCTTCACACTATCTGGTCCTCATGCCATGGACACGGCCGCAGGGTACTTCTGTCCAATATTGACAGAAGAGCGAAATAACAACTGGCATAGGACATGGCTCGGACAGAGAAGTCTAGTTAATAGCACGGGAACGAACTAAGCCAAGAGCACTCTCATGCTTGGGGAGACGGAGAAGTGGGGGATTTGAGTTTCACCAACACATGGCCAAGTGGTGTAAGGATTTGATGACAGGCTCTTCAATAACTTTCTTACAGGCTCACTACGGCCTGACCACGTGTAGGAAGAACTGAGATGATGGTAGATCTCGCCTCTCCTAACAAAGGGTTAGGGCATGGCGAATGAAAGTTTATCTAATACTATGAGAATGGCAAGGAACCTGAATACCAGACCAATAAAATCAAATAAAAAATTATGTACTTCTAGGTTTAATGTCTTAAATGATAAACAGTCTCTGCTATTAAGTTAGCCTTAAGCGACAGGGAAATGAGGATAGTTGAAAATTGGTGGCTAATTAAATAAACAAACGGAGAGTTACGCAATGTTGCTCAAACCAAAAGACGATACCATGACTAGTATTTGAAGTGTGTAAGTTGCTAGCACATCCAAACGTACAATGTGTATATATATGACTGAATTGTAGTTAGTTTGGATTTGTTTGCAGTTAGCTTACTTCAAATCATGGTTCTGGTGTTAACTAAAAAGTTTGTTCTATCATCTGCTATAGGGCATACATATATATATCAAGTGTTCCTCCTATTTCGTTTAAGGAAAGCAGGATTAGTAGTTGAAAAAGAATCAGGTTGATGCAAGTCAAGAAGACCATCCGGCTCCGTCCAACTTGCCTTATATATTCATTACTTCAAACGAATAAAAAAATTTATAGAGAGGAAGAGGGAGACATCATAGTGATTTTAATTTGGCATTAGTAAAACTATACATACATACATACATACATACATACATACATACATACATACATACATACATACATACATACATA